TTGCAGTCTGACCTCATGTTGTTGCTGCTGACCTTTCTAGTCGTTAATAGGTTTTTTCTTGCTATGCCAGCTGCTGAACAGGGAGAGCAAAGGGGCAATTATCAAGAGTCATGGATAGAAAGAGCCCACTCCAATTTTGTTGCATTCATTCTTGATGTAAGCAACTGGCAAAATCGTTCTCAAGCAGTAATTTAGTGTGGAAATATATACATTTGAATTCAGCTTCATTACGCACCCATTCATTGTGCAGGTGTCCTGGTCACTGCAAGTCCTATGTCTTCCTATCCACCTTCTCTCCACAAAATTGGGTTATACTATTTGAAATGAGAATACAAACAAATCGTTCTTATTTTGGTTCTCTCTGCCTGGCAATGCCAGTTAGTGTATAGAGGGTTTAAGTCAGCAACCGAAACAAAGCGGTCAAAAAAGTACCGCAAGCTAATATCAGCAAAAAGCACGAGATATATCTTGGAAAATTGCTTCCACGTCCCTTTCCATACTCATTATCTAAAGAACGCATGAATGAAATCAAGAATATGTTGTTACAATATTATGTATTTGCTCTATTTGGTTGAGTTATCGCAGGTAGCTAGCAACTAGATAGTGGTTATTACTACAAAACTGCTGCATTTATTCAAACTATGTTGAATTTGCTGATAGACATGAAGGTTTTGCATTAGTAGAAAGTGAGAAGTCACCTCTGAAATTAATTAGCTGCCACAAATGATTCTATCATCCGAATGGTCCGAACGGAAAAAATCTTGATAATGGATTTATTCAAATTTTGTTATGAGACTTTTAGTGATTCATTAAACCCTGCGCTAAATGCACACTTATGGTCTTTGTCATAATTGAAATATGCTTTCTTGTTTTGGAAAGTCGGTAACTCTAAATTTTATCGGGTATCCACTTTTGATCCTGCTTTTCTCATAGTGATCTTCATTTTGCGATCTTTATTTTTGATGTTGTCGTTTGATGCACCTTTTAAAGCTTCATTTTCATAAAGTCATGTCCGTTTTCTATAGACTATTTGGGACTTTTCGTATTATTTGGGTTTATTATTTCTAATTATGGAAACTTTTTTCACAGGACAAGGGATTCACCAAAAATGATATTCATGACCAAGTAGATTTGATTATCGAAATTGCAGTGCAAGCATTCTTTATTCATAAAATTAAAATGATAGTGAGACGTCTTGCGGTTGCCATTCTTTAAATAATGGATAGAATGTGGTAAATGTCTCGAGATTAAATATGATAAAACAAGTACATATAAATGACAATTGGATAAAACCTTATTGAGTTCCATCTTTTGTCATTGTATCCAAAAGCTCTCTTCGTAGCAGTGTCTGTCCCTTATTTATTCAAAAAACAAAATAAACATCAAAACCATTCTCATACCACTTTAGCAACTTTAATTTTTGCATAAATGCGTCTAATAAGTTTAGACATTCAGTGACTGATAAAATTGGATCATATTTCATTTCTTTAATTTTGGAAATCAAGAAAACAGTAATCTTGTATGCAATGTGTTGGTGTATAAAAGGGAAAGAGATGGGATTTCAGAATCTGCTAAGTAAATCAGTGAGTTTAATCGTTTGTAATAAGAGCACATTGATATATGTGCTTGAGCAAGGACCACTATTTTTCGGATTAAAATTTAATGTTTTTATTTTCCATAATTTTCAGGTCTTATGTGAGTAGATTAAAAAATTGTACCCTACATTATGGATAAAACGCATTAAATTCTAATGAGGTCTGGCTGCAAACTCAGTACTGCTGAAAATCTATTCAGTTCATTAACAATAGTAGCAAAGCAAGCTCGTGTCTATAGTGGAGTTCTGGAATGAGAATCACACTTTAGATGGGATTTGAAAGTTACTACATCTCAATTGCAATTAAGGAGGGTCTACTTGTTCCATATTTGTGTTTTATAATCTGAAATGATATACATATGAATACATATGTATATGAATCATGATATTTAGTTATACAGTTTTTGTATATGTACTGTTTAACTGTTTTAATTTGACGCCTCAAAAATAAAGTAATTTATTCTGTTCGTCAGCTGAGTCGATATTAACACATTTGGTGAAGAATTAATCGTGATTGTATACAATTTAGGAACAGCTGCAAACTCTGTTGAGACAAAGATAAATATCAATACTGAGAAATCTGAAACTATCAACAACAGCTTATCATATTACAATTCGTAAATATAAGCTTTTATAAAGCTGTTTGGGGAAATCAACATTATCAGCAACAACAGCTGCGTTATTGATGGTGGTAACGCCACCGCAAGTCATAACATGTCATCATAGTGTGATAATAGAAGTCTACACGTTTTTCATACCACTTGGTAATTATATTGAGGTCAAACATTATTAAGGTCATTATCATAATACGAGTTTGATAACTTTTACTTTAGCATATATCATTACATACAGACTTATTTTCATCCTGCATTTCATCTCTAACTCGAGCTTATTAGAGAGTATACCATACTTCTCGCCTTTTCTCAGTCTCGATCGCAATAAAACTGATATGCCAACCTCTGTCTTATGTCGCTTCTAATCGTGAATAACAATATTCGGTCGATCCGCCATTATCTTTATGGCTGTTCTAATCAGATCTGATCTCAACATTCTCAGAGTCACAAATGGATTCATCGCATCACCTCATTGTGTCTTTTGTACAGTCATGATGCAGCGCTTCCTCACGCTTCGTTACTAACTAGTTCACTGCTTTTCACGCGTTCCCTACAATGTAGGCTCATAGTTTCCTCAACTTCAAACGTATTCATAACTTGGAGGTGACAGTGTCGTGCTTCATTTTGTGCGGTAATGTCTTCCTTTTCGTACCATTGCCAAATTGATGAATCAACCTTTCCTCCTTGCTATACAAGAGCGCTTTTCGGGCTACTGGCATATTTTTAAAGGTGGGATTGACCACGAGGTTGTACTTAGTCTTAAGATAGGATACAATAATTGCGAAGTGCGTGTTGGGAGCCTTCTCCTGCTTCAAAATCGCTGCCCTCCTGTGATATACATTATGTAGATGGAGAAGCATAAGCTCACTCCATTGTTCAACATAATGCAGCTCGCGTCTTAGCTCGTCTCTTGGCATTGTCTCTAAATATTTCGCTTGGTTATGAATTCCGTATTTATTTAAAAAGTGCCGCGATCAATTGCTTTCAAGTCTTGTTGTTGAAGTTTGAGCACCCCAATGTAATAGTTTATTAAACTTATGGCGTGCTCATTTAGCGCCTTGATAAAGTTCTTGCCATTTAGTGCAGTTTTGGCTAGTCGCTCAATTCTCCCCAAAATCTGTGCTCGTACTTTATCGTAGCTTTCTCGAGTGGAAGCACTAGCCCTATCTTCCATTATTCCAAGGTATTTTATACCTTTGAGTTCCTTCCAATAGCACCGCCTTATCAGCGCATAGCTTGGTTAATGGCTGAACGTTGCTGAATTCAGCTCTAACACTATTGTTCCAAAAAACCTCTGGACTTGTTTGGTCATAGCTTTCATGATATCTTTGAAGGTAGCAAGGAGCTGGAGAATAATAATAAATGGTTCGTTACATGCATTTTTTGATGGTGGGAACCTACATCTTTGGGTATATGATATTGAGCCTACGGCCCAACGGTTCCATACACAAAACGAACAAAAGTAGGAGAAGTCTGTCACCTTGGAAAATCCCCTGCTGTATTTTTTCCCATTATGGTGTTTCCATTACTTTTTAATGTAATCGACCATCTAGAAGTAATGTTTCTTAGAAACCTACCGAGTCGCAGACATTCAGTATATTTAATCAGGTAACTGTAACTGCTTTTTTAATATCATACCGCGTAGTATATAGTTGGTTCCCACGCTGCAAACCAGGAACAGTGTTTGCTCTTTCGCACCCTGAACGGGGGTAACAGTTTCTAGTTGATTATCTGCAAATAGTCCCCCTAGCAACATACAACTGCATGATTCGTGTCTCAGATTTCATTATTAGCTTGTAGAGTTTGGACATACACGTCATTGACCTGAAGTCACCACCTTTGTTTGGGGAACCTTTTGGAATCAAGTACGTAGTCCTTATGTGGAACTATGGGTCTTCTTCCTCCTCATCCATCAGGGTCTTCCGCCTTCCAGTTGAGCAAATAGGAAACTATCTTTCCAAATTCGGCTTCGGAGGGGAAAGTATTGTGCACTTCATGTTCTGGAACGAATTCTTCAAATATTTGTTGTAGCTATCATCCTTTCCCAACTTACATCGTATCCTAAAACTCTGATTTCTTCTTTCCCTGCATTGTACCTGACAAGCTGATTAAAATCCCATAAAGAACCGTCCTCTAAACTGCTCAAATCTGACTTTTGAATTTTGAATGCACAGCAGGACTCATAACTTCTGATTTTATTTTCGCAAACTCTCTCAGGCTTTGTCAGCATGCCTAAAGCTTCATGACAGTCATGTATGAGAGCAAGTATGAGATCCATTTCGCTCACGCATTTCTTGGTCTCTCTTATCCTAGGTGTTTATGTTCAAGAGTTAACCGGCCAGATATCGCTCTACTACTACCAGGGTATTGTGAGAATTAAATAAGTTTACTTTCGTTTGTGTACTTATCGTCCACTTTGATGATTTCTTCTCCAGCCTTGTCAGCTCTTCTTAGAATTGTTGTGCCCGCGTGGAGTTGTCTTGCAATATCAATTATTGACTTGAGAAGATTCCATGTGAAATATTCACCCGCCGCTCGATTCACTACTGCAATTGTCAACGTCCTTCAAGATTGTTTTTGGCATCTACTTCGTCTAATTTATCTCATGTCTATTGCCAGTGGTATAGCATCAACAACAGGTACTTCAGCTTTACATTTAAATAAAGCTTAAACTCATTTTGTCATCTGTCTTGATATGCCTCTCTGATTTCTTCAAGAACCAGTTCTGTGAGCATAGACGACCTGCAATACTAATTATAGCAGAATTCGCTTTCTTCTTCAGTTTTTGGAGGCTAATCGTACATATAAACTTCTCGCAATACAGGAAACGAGACAAGGGCCATCCTCCCAGAACCGCTCTCAGCACCTCTCCTGGCCACTTGCTCTGTAGAACCTTGATTCCAAGGATAAGTGCCTCGACTTGGTGGTTCCGATACACTGGTGAAGTGCTGTCTCGCATCTTTATGTAGCTTTCTTCTACAACTTAACTGTTTTTCATTTATGACTCCAGGCTCGGCTTTTTTCGTTTTGCTCTGTGATACAATTAACCGGTCAGCAAAATTATATATATATATATATTTGTTGCATGTGTAAATAAATGTGCTACTTTATCTCTTAGGGATGACTATCAGTTATAGAGTTAAGAACTGATTATCGATTAACCAAGATCCAAAACATTCAAATTCCTCCTAACTGAAGGAAATCTATCGAGCATGTACTATATAGCTTCCTGATCTGCAGAGCAGTTAGGCAAGTTGTTTCAATTATTATATATTCATTGCAACTTTAGCAGTAAAGAATTCAATTCGCTGTGACTAGAACAGGATGTCAAAGGAAACAAATTATTGGTTTAAAAAAGCACTAATAACAAAGAAATTTTCAGAAAATAGTAATAAGTGAAATTTGATGATTTTTCTAGTATCTGAACATCTCGAAAACAGCTACATAATACATGCTGTTATTCGAGCTGTAATTTCAAGGCAGTAACTTATAGTCTATTGACATTTACATCTCCTGCTTGCACACTGTAGTTTTTAAGGAGATACAACAATTATTGTTGTACAACTATTGATTACGACCGGATTTTTCTGTTCATTATCATTCCAGTGGTGTTGTGAATCAAGCATTGCTCATGCAATCATAGTCATTTAATGTTAATGAGTGGTAAACTTCCTGCATTTTGTTTTTATAATCATACTCTCTTCAATACGATTGATAGATCAGATCATATTCTTTTATTTTCTACGATGGAACAATTGAAAGGATTTAATTGAAATAGTGTTGGTTTCTTTATCCCATCATGTATGAACTTCTTCATGTTGCAATAATTGTTTTCATATCTTCTATTTTTTTCCGCTGATTTATTGTATGCATTGTAACTCTAATGATTTTATAAATGTTAGAATAAGCCATTAAAATAAGTACCAGTAACGCTTCAGTAAAAACGTTTATTTATTCATTTAACTTGCTGAATCTATTGAAACACGCCAATGATTGGAAGTATTGAAAGAAGAAAGTTAATGTGGGCAATTTTTTCCTCAAAACCAGTAGTGGAATAGCTTGAAAATAAATTGTAAAGGATTAGAAAAATAAATGCTTTCTTGCCTTTCGTTCGTTCACCTTACTTTCATCTTATTTCCGTAAGTAAAAATGCATGTATGTGTGCTTATCTATGTGAGCATGCCTTGATATCATTATGTGCACATATGTGGTTTAACATAATTGGGGACTCGGCATGCTTTATTAGCTCATCCCGACCATTCATGCAAAAAGCCTACTTTCTCGCTTAGTAACGAATAATGAACATCGCGCACTTAACAGTATGGATCAGTTCTTTTAAGTCTTACATGCTGTTATCTGGTGATTGAAAACTCTCCTGTAATTATTTAATTAATTTGTTCATGCTGACTGCACATTACATTATTCCTCCTAAAATTTGATCTTTCAGTTTATATTTTCATTATTCTCCTGAGTTTATGTTTACTTATTGAGTGCCAAAAAAGGAGTACAAAAATTATGGTAAATAATTGTATTGTTACAGGAGAGCTTTTGCAATTAAAATACTCAACCTATTAAATATTGAATAGCTTTACATATTTTAATACGAAATCTTTTGAGAAATTATTTCTAAAAAACTTGGGAACTCTTGAATTTACTTTGAGTACAGTTTTGTATTCACGAAAGTGCGGAAAATCTTGCTTTTAACATTATCATTAATGATTAAAAATATATTAATAACGCACTTAAAATAGAAGGTTGATGATATGAACATCAGGATTATTCCTTTACAATTATTTGTAATCATAAAAATTTCATTCATTGTTATTAAACAGAGTTTCACTTTTGTAGATGGCAACAATTTTTGCTTTAAAGTAGGAAAAAATTTTTTGAGAATTTTGTTCTACACAAAAACGGAAGTTGCAGCTTATCATGAGACCTTAAATATTTATAGAAATTTGAATTTCGATCAATAGTTTTCAATAGTATTTCACGATATCAAATTATCAGCAAAGCTTTTTTTGTTGAAAATTGACTTGTTTATAAAAAAATTTCCACTCATCTGAATACTTTTTCCACGTTTAGTAAAAGACAATAAAAATAGGTCATCAGAGCTCTAATATGAAACTAATTTCATCCGTCCATTTTCTGCTTGCATTTAAATTCTTCACTAATTTAAATGAGAAAAACTAAAATTAGAAAAGGTGAAGAGAACATAGAAAACGTCTATTTTGTGTTGACAACTATGGTAACAGATGTTTCTGGAAACGAATTTTCAGCTAAGGAAATTTACTTAGGAAAAAATTAAATCACACATTAAAAGAGAAAATGAAAATCCTCTCCAAGTTGAAGCATTTACAAATAAAGTACTATGCCATTTCAAGCATTTGCAATTAAAGTACTAATGCTTGCTTAGAAATGAAACTGATCCTAATTTGATTTTCATAACTTGAATAATCTTAAATACTGTAGTGATAAGTAAAATGGTTCTATTGTAATATATATATTTTCGGTATACACTAAAATAATCAGTTTTTTTAAACCAGGTTTTGTGATACTAGCAGGTATTGTTGCAGGAATTCATTACATATTTGACACTATTTTGGTTGCGAGGAGACCACATCTAAGCTCTGCTAATACTCTCAGTTCATAAAATCAACTAAGATTAATATTCAGTTCAGCAATGTACGAAGGCTATTCAAAAAAGTAGTATTAGTTAAAAAGTTGGCAATGATCTTAATAATCATGGTTCAGCAACAAAACCTACTAAGCAAGAATATACGAATATTGTTGCTGATTTCTAGTTTATATCAATTCATTTGATGATTTGAAGCAGTGTTGGGACGCTTTCTATTTTTATCCTCCTGTGACTTTGAAAAAATCGGATATTTAATTAATTTAGATAGATTACTTAACTTCATATTCAAAAATAGAATATATGCACTTTGTATTTAATACTAAAACATATTCACTTCAAAATATGATGGATAAACGGATAAAGTTTTTCGCGTATGTACTAAATAGAGAGCTTGATTAAACTGAACTCATAGTTAATAACTTTCTCATTAAGGACCAAACATTTTTTGAATTATATTTCATTATTTCATCTTTATATCTTCATTTTGTGCTTCACTCTTTATAAGAACCTGTAAATCAAATAAAGGGTTTATTGTAGTATCAATAATAATCGTAAATTTTTGTATCTTTCAGTCAAAGAATATATCAAAGAGGTATTCTAGTTTTTACTTGCCTTCAATTTTGCAGTGCTTATTCCAGCATTAATTTTCCATTCTTTTACTACACAATTTTAAATTGACATAATGAATGCTAACTAAATTTCTAATTAAGTTAGCTTTCAGCTTTCATCAATTAATGTAATTTATTGATTTCCATTTATCTGTGTGCATAAGCTCAGAAAATTATTCTGCACATGAATTCATAGTAGATGTGAACGTTGATCGGCTTCGTTCACTCAAAAGCTTTTGTTGCAGATTCCAATGGTTCCAATAAGATCTCAACAAATTATTGCTTTCTTATAAATGCAAACATTATAAAAAGCCATGTTGAATTTTTGAAATTTTTTCTAAATTTTATTACTTTATTCATAATTCGCTTCCAACTTGTAACTGAAAGCAAAGTTTTTTGAGGCAAAAACTATGAAATTTACGCAAACTTATAGGAGTTTCTTCTTCACAAGGCTTTTTTTTTCTAATAATTATGTTAGATTCTCAGTGATCTTTACTCAAATTTAAACCAAAAGAGTAATCAGATAAAAAAGTGGTATTCCTAATTCCATCATATATTCACTCTGCTCGTTTCAGTTTGAAAGAGGAATGATTTTCAACTCAGAATTTAAAAAAAATTATAGTATTCACTTATATAAACTTTTCCATTAATATTATTAGCCATTAATTTTCTGTTTTTCCAGTCGAGCATGCAAATAATTCTTATGAGTTCATTTGTCATAAGAATATACGGATAAAGAAGTGACAGAAAATAATTCTCAAATCAACAAAGTTTTAAAAGATTTTTTTGTTGCTAATGAAGAAGACTGGGAAAATTGAAAAGCAAAACTTGTTTATATGTATAAATGTATGCAAATTACAAATATAGCACAGGACAAATAAAACACGCTAGGATTTGCTAAGGACTTGATTGAATTCGAGTTAATTTTGATGCAGCTTAATTTTTCGATGATTCTATGATAATCAGAGATGTTTGTCTTAATTTATGTTTCTAAAATACAGATAATTACATATGTAAAAGGAAAAAATAAAAATTCAATTAATTTTATTACAAATTTGCATTCTGATTTTCAGTAATATGAAGAACATAGTAAAACTTATATTAGAAGTTGAAATATTTTACCAAATTATTAGTCTTCTTGTAATATTTTCCACAAATTAGTTTGAAATTTTCTGTAAAAACAATATTTCTAAGCAGATTGACATTTGATGTAACACACAATTGCTAGCTTTGGTTTTAAAAATTTCAATTTTAATTTAAGTTAAAATAATCGTTTGTTAAAAACGAAGTTCATAATCTGTTAATTTTTTTACTTCATACTTTCTCTTACTTTTGCAAGCTGAAAAGAAATAATTTTAGAGATTTTTTATGCTTACTTTTCTAATTGGCAAAGATATGAAGCAAAGTTACTTGAAGATTTTTAATTTTGACTTTTATTTTTGAACAGAATTAATTTTTAAAAAGATGGAAATTATTCCTATTTTGTTCACATAATTATTATGGTACAAAACGATCTTCAACGTGTTTATTTTTCACTTGATTTTAATGCTATTCTGCTTTTATCATGGATTGAGAAATGTTATACATCAATGAAATGTACAAACATTGTTGTAGACAAATTTTGGCTTTTAATTTGTTTTGCATTTAAACATTAGCAGTAATGCCTTGGTTTATCCGCGCTACTGATATGCTTAGAATCATCTTCTAAAAAGTTCAAGTAGTCTTTATAGTTTTTCGTTAGGATAATCATACTATCATGTTGATTTTTAGCATGCATATTTTACTGGCTTTATCTAAAGAACACTGCAAAGTTTTTTTTTTCTGATCACTTTAATCCTTTTCTGATTTTTATGCATTGTGGTCTAGTTTGCAGGAATGAATTATAAATGCATGCTGTAAATGAATACCAAAGTAATATCACTAGAATTGCGGCTCCTTCACAAGTGTGCCATTGCATTTGGTCAAAAGCTTCAGCTAAATGATTGCTTGAGTAACTTGGCAATATTACTTGCGTATGAAAAACGTGGAATCGAACGTTGTTCAGCCAATCTTTCATGTACACTAATTTTGTTGCAAAATTTCACAATTGCATGTAAATAATGATATTTCTTCAGAGATTTATTAAAAACTCTTTTTTACATTAAAAAGCATTCGCTGGCAATAAAAATGAACGAAAAAATCAAATTTGAATATAAGCACTTTTTAAATTATTTTTTCAACTGTGAAATAAAAAAAGTATTTCATTATTATGGTCACTTTAATTATGCCATTGAGAGGAAAAAGATTGAAAAACTTTTGTGCAAATGATATAAATTAAGGTGTTAAAAAGTGATATCATCATTTTTAAAGCATTTGTCTACATGAAAGATATTTAAAATCCAAAAATTAAATACTACATTTTGATTTTTTTCAACCAAATTTTTTCATTCTTAGTGCCCGAATGTATTCATAATACTGGCTACGATACTGTTTGTGGTCGAGTAGAAAGACGGATCAACCAGTTTGCAATGCCATTACTGCAGTTATTATGCCTTTTAGGAAATATTTTAAACTTACTCATTTACCGATTACCTTACTTCCAAGGTAGCACTTCGGTGCATTTTCTCAAAGTCAAAGCTTACGCTAATTTGGTATTTGTTGAATCTAGAATTTTCGAGGTTGGTTTCTACGGATTTTACCACATAATAACAAAAATAGAAATTATACAGTGATTGGCAAAACAAATTTTTTGATTTCATACATTTGAAAAAAAATCATCTTAAACGATGAACTAACAATTTATGAATTTGGTCAGGTTATACATTCATGGACTATGCAACCAGACGCTTCATTTGAACAATTTTATTGGCACTCTAAACCATATGTCATCACTGTGGCTAGCATGAGCGGTACAATCTCTACATGGTGTATCTTATACTATTTTATATTGATTTTCCTCACCAATTTCAGTAGTAAAATTAAAAGTTGTAACGATTTCAAATTGCAATTTGTATATATTTATGGATTTCTTTTCTCGCTCAAAAACAATTCATTACGATTTAGCACTTTTTCATCGAAAAGTTAGATGCAAAAATCTGATCTAATTTTTATGTACAATTATTGTTGCTAGCAGTTAACTATAAAATGCTAGGTTTTTTATTCAGAGTAGTGGTTATTTTCAGTTGTAAAGTAAACATAACTTACAGTGAATCCATATAGTACATTTCAAAACTGGAACTTTCAGGATGACATTAGTAGTGACCATTGAAACAGTTTTTTGCGTGCTGTTGCCATTTCATTTTCGCCAAATTTTTACTAAACGAATAAGTTTGATAATTTTGCTTGGTTTTGCAATAGGCAGCGTTTTCTTACATATACCGTTTATTTTTACACAAACAGTTATCGGCAGTCCAGTATTCAAAGAATATGATGGCAGACATTCTAACAGGTACTAACAAATTTTTCCACTGATCTAACACTTGGGTTAATTTTATTAACTTTAATTTTTGGAGATGTTTATTTGATTGGACTATTACTTATGATTGTTATAGATGTTACTGGATCACAAAACTATATTCAATGCAAACTCGAAGAGGATTATTTTACGAGCACATTCAGAAAGCATATTACTGGTTGCAAATAACACTTTCCATACTTATTCCAAATATTTTTATGCTTGCCTGCTCTGTACTAATCGTTACACAATTTAGTTTCAAGGTATGATACTACGAGAGCAAAACAGTACACCAGTTTCAACTCATCACCACATAACGAGGATTTTATTTCTTACTTGAAATTTGTTTGATAGGAAACTCTGAAGTAGTTCTTCAGAATCTTGGCAAAGCATTCAGTCAACGACGAAAATGTGTAATTCGAATGACTGTTACAACGACGCTGTCACATCTTCTTTTGGAAGGACCTGCTTTATTAACGTTTGCAGCTGCAGCAGAAAAAGGTGCTTGCATTGAATTTAACAAAAAAAATGGTCTTTTCTAATTTATATCTCTATAGTTAGCCAGAAATATCTTTTCAAAAATTCTGATGAAATTATGGAACTCCTAGATAGAAAATCAATTTTCTCAAGTTCAGTTGATATTTTCAGCATCTGCCTTTTAAAATGACTTCTTTCTCTCCAGAAAACATCATATTAATCAAGCATTTCATACCGTCATTCTTTTTTCTATTATAGAGTTCTAAATTATTATTTTTATCCAGGCGCAAATAGTTCGGACCATGGAAACAATATTTGTATCTTAACACATGGAAATAATCTTTTATCAGTTATCAATGCTACTATACCATTTTTCGTTTTTCTGGCATGTAACGAACAATTTCGTCGCATGTCTGTGGTATTTATACAAGTTCATTTGGTTCCACGAACATTTATGAAGAAAGTTGCTGAATGGAGAGATGTAAGTATACGATCCACATCCACAAATAGACATGAGTTACAGAATGCTAATATTTCTACAAAAGAGAACATCACTGCATTTCCTACAAATTACATGTACTCGTAGCAATGATTGCTCCGTAATGGTCATTGTTTATAGTCGAAAGTTAAAGAAATGAACACCACTACTTATCTTGTTTTAAAAGATTTGATAGCTAATTACTAGAAACCTTTTCTTCTGTTTCATGAGTAAGAAATTTCCTATTGATTGAGACCAAGCATTTCGTACTTCAGTTTATCTGATCTCTGCACATTAAGCAAATATTGTCATGAATTGTTGGAAAAACAAAAGTGATCAAAATCGTAGTCATGATACGAACAGATAAACATAACTTAAAAAATGAACATTAAATGTTACTCAAAATCTTATCTCTTGAATTTTTGGTAAAAAAGCAATTCCAATTTAAATCTTCCATCCTGAAGTGCAAATTCTAGCTCTTATGAAAAATCTTTCAATTCAGGACATTAACTGCAAATTTTTCATTCCTTGTTTCATTGAGTCACTTTGAAATCGGCAAACTTCCTATTATTACAATCCATTCTGATTTCTCAATTCTAAAGAGATTTCGGTTCTATCTATCAGTTATTTATTTTTTTACTCTCTATCAACCGATATCATCCAGTTTTGTATCCTTTTCAAGTCGTCAGTTGATAAACCTATTTGTTTTCTGAATGTTGCAATCAATAACCAGCTGTGAATGTTCAAGTTCAATTAGAAAGAAGCCTCTCTTTACACACTAAGAGCAAAAAACAGCTGCCAGATGGTTTCAAGACTCAGTGATCGTCAGTAGTTCTTTCAATTTTTCCGTCTTCCCGAATAATTCACTAAATGATATTCGTGAAATGACTGCAGTGAATTAATTCTTCGCTGGTCAGATATAAATAAAAAGAATTGGCTGACAAAAGAATTGGCTGACAAAAGAATTGGTTGACAAAAGAATTGCTTATTTAGAGTAAAAAAAAAATGAATGAATGATAAATTATGAGTGATCTAAACAGAATTTCTCATACGTAACTGTACATTGTAAATAAGCCATTTATAATTTAAAGTAGCGTCTACAATTATAAAATGTTCTGTAAAAATAAGAGCAGTGAATATAAGGTTATAATCAAAATCATGCTCTAAGATACTGTTACGAAGGTTATTTAAGTTTTCTGTTACAGAAAAAAAAATTCATTTCACATTGTAGCATATTTGTTTCTTGAATACGAAATATCAGCATATATGTCTATATTCATGTTATCAATTTTGTGCAGTTTAATCTCTTTATATGATAGTATATTTGCGTGATAAATGGCAAATTATTTCACTTAAAACGTTTTGTATGGCAAAAATTTTCCTGACAGCACTATGGTCACTCGATCACCATCTTCATTTTTTTCTCGCGCAACGTTTAATTTGAAATCAATGGCACTCATAATGCCATCACCAAATTCTTCTACAATCAGCTCCTTGATTGTCAGACCATACACTCCCAATATCTGAAAATTGCATCATAATTTCACGTTTTATTTTTCTCATCCTTTTTTTAGCTGGTCATACTCCGGTACCAAAATTTATATAACTATGCACAACGATGGTGGTTTGTGTAAAGTTTAAAAAAAATTTACTAAATACAAAAATAAATACAGAAAGAGATGAGTTTTGTCTTTGTCATGTTTCTCATGCACTGAAAATGTCCTTCTTTTGTCAATATTCTCTTGTTCTGCACGATTAAATTACATTCAAAAGGTATCGTCATCTCAAATGCAAAGATTTTATTGAGACGAAAAATGGTAATTAATAAAGAAGATGAATTTACTTGTTTACATCTACAAAATTGATCACCGACCTCATGCAAACGATAAAGAACAGGATCAGTGGGAATTCCATGCGCACCTTTCTGGGGCACACATTGAAGCCAAGCTAGAGCACTTTCAGGCAAGTCAAATATGCTTGAGACTTTCTCTGCTTGTTCTTTGGTCATAGCCATTTGACCTAAGCATGCTGCTGTTGTCCACTCTTTACTTCTGCCAACTTCATCCGCAACTTCTTTCCAAGTGATACCTTTTTGTACTTTGGCCAGAAGAATGGCATTTGTTACTTCTTCTCGAGATTTCATTACTTCCATAGATGTCAGCTTGATTCTGGAGGAGGTAAAATTTTGATAGGCACTGTCAAGTTTTGAAAAAAAAAGTACTACCAAATTGAAAACTTCTGCTGATAGGTTTCCATGATTCTGACAGAACCTTCATCATACCTTACTTTTGCTAATTCATTAGGTGTCAAAGGTTTTGTGCTGTGCAATACTTTAGACAATTAAACTTAATCATCAGAGAATAAGAGTTTCCAAATGATTTTGAATGAAGTTGTTCTACCTAAATAACAAAACTATTTGTGACCATATTTTTAGTTTAACAGGAAGAAGATATATTGCAGTGATAAGTTGCTGGGAATCTATAAATTAACTCACTAAAACAAAACTGGAATGGATGAAGAGTGGAAAGAAATTTTGCTGTGTATTAATCAGAGATGAAATAGTAAAAGAGAAGGATTACCCGGACACTTCGAGAACGTTTGCGATGCTTCTCCTCATTATGCTGACAAAGTTCTAATGAAGTGTGAAAATGCGAAACCAACAAAAGAGTAACTGAACTGCAAATAAGCTAGCAAAAAAAAAGAGTGAACCTAAAACAAAGAACTTTAAAGTAAAGCAAACTAGAAGAGGGTTGCAAATGAAGAAACTTGAAGAGCAGATCTGAGTTGAATGTGGAAGCTCTTTTTTCTAGTACTTTTCTCATAAGTTGCTTTGACATCCTAGACGGAAATCACAACTCTGTTTTCATTTCTACTATAAGAATGATTTTTTGCTGTGATAATTATAATGCTGATGATCAAGAGTGAAGACAATGTGATACTAACATTATGTTCTGTCGGTTTTAATGATATCAGGAAAAATGAAGAGTGATTAAAGGACTAAACGGCGGGTATATATCCACTTTCTACCGAAACAATACTGAACAAGTTGGATATTTTACTCTCAGTTTTGAATCATTTTCAACGATGATTTAGTAGACTGAAAAAACATTTACTTGATATCTTTAACTACAAGAACTGAGCAATGATGCAACTGAGCTATAACAGATTAGATCAGTAGTGATTTTTCTTCTATCCTTAGCTCTCATAAACCTTGTCAAACAAGTAGAGGAAATGAACGCTAAAGAAACGATAATGAAGCCTTTCGTATTTGATTATGACGCAAGAGAAAAACTACCTGTCACTGATGTCAGTATTGTATGTCTTTCTCTCGTAATTTCATACCAAGACTAAAGAAGCTTTAACAGATGACACTGAGATAAAGAAATATGCCAGTGCACTTAACAATCTATTTATAATATAGTATTTTCCTGAACTGCTGTTCAAATGGAAATGAGGACAAATTTGATACTATATGAACAAATGAAATCTTAGAAAGACTGTGTTTAAGTGAATCGTATTAGCGTAAATTACAAACAAGAAATGAAGAAGTTTGGTCGAATATTAAGCTGTTCGAATCACTTAGTGATATATATGTAATTGTCTCTGAAGATTTCTCTCTAAGATAATCAACTCTGCTTCTGCTCTTTATTGCAAAAGTGTGGCAGAGGCAAAAGAATATCATTAAGTGTTATAGATCGCCACACCTGACTTAACCATAGCAGTAATAAAAGGTCACACCACTTCACCTCCTGTAACTTACCACAGCTGTTCTTTTCTACCAGCATCAATTTAAGTGATAATTTTTATGCTTTTAATCAGTTTCATTCATATTTAGGGACCCGGTCTAGGATAGGGAGGATAGACAGGGAAAATTTATCTACCTTAAAGTTGTGATCAGGTTTTCTTTACATTCACTATCATACGCTGTAATGAATAATATAGACACTGCTTTCACTGTGATTGACTTTTCAGTAGCATGTGTCATTTTGTTCTCTATGTTGCAAAAAGTTGCAGAAACTCCAATTGAAACTCTGTCACTCCTAGAAATTTGAATTTCCGGCCATTGCTTCTTAGCAAGAAAAAGTTATAAAATGTTATCACTGTCTGGATCTTGTGATGATTAATAGAATACCAGCAAATCTTCCAACATAAAGGTACCCAGCACCAAATATCAGTGCTCGTATCAGTTATTCATGACTTTACAGTTCCATCACGTCATACTCTTTCCTCTGTACTTTTGATATCATGAAAAGCTAATTTTTCCATCATTGATCGCAAACTATTATTATTTTCAATAAGCCGTTAACGTTTTGCTCACTGCGCTAAGTATTGTCTTGGCGATTTTGATAGTGTATGGAAACATGTTGATTATAAACTATACATTAATTCTAAAATTTTCTGTTTCTATTATTTTAATGATTATAAATGGATGAAAGATGATGGTGACAGATGCGAAAATCATTAGATCATGACAACAGGTATTTTAACTGTTAGAAGAGGAAGAGAATATTAAATAGACATCTAGATATTTAACTTTTCAAATAACTGCTACCACGTCCGTCACATCCATTATTTGACTATCGTGTCAGAGAAAATAGTAGATGTAATCACAATCCTTATTTTACTATATTTCGTTTCCCTACTTTGTCTCCACTTTGTTTCCGAAGAACTGTCTATTTTAGACGTATTTTTGTAGTCACAAATTTACGCTTATGTTTGTCCCATAATTGCCACGCATTACTTGTATCTTAGGTGCTGAGAAAGGTGAAATGTTATTATTATTTAGGAAATATGGATTTACTTTGAGATCGTTTACTTTAAAATATTACTAGTTTTTCTTTCTTTTTTTTAATATCCTGCAGTGCACATTTTTCAAGAAAATGATCGTGAACTCTTTTTACTTCATTTAAACGGATTAACACTGTAGCAAGTTCGTCACATGCAACTTGCTTTTCATATCTAATGATTTCTTTTATATGGTTTTTGATATTTGAGAAAATGTGAGTTTAACCAAATGTTCTGTACATTTGGAATGGCAACTATTTATAGGTAAATAACTTCTTACAAGTTATAAGAAGAAAATCTGTGAACTAGAAAAAGTTTGTTGGAAGAGATAGACCATGATCGTATACGATTGGAAATGATCGGAAAAGTTGTTTCAAGCAGATAAATGATGCTGAAGTGAAATTGCCAGGACTATAAATTTTCAGAGGGAGCAATATAACTTTTTAATGGTTGTAAAGTTCGCGTGGAAGATATAGAAGAAAATTTTCAACTGATTATATTTTGATTTTAACTGCAGTTACTGCTGTAAGAAAGGAAAATCGGTGTGGCATACACAGATGTACATTTAAAAAACATGTAATAACGAAATGAATTCGTGAGACATAATGTAACTCTGAGGTTAACCGCAATATCAGTCGATGTAAGAATATTTTTCTTATAAAGCCTTATAAAGGACAAGGTCACATATGAACGAAAAGCGTTTGTTTGTGCTAGTATAAAATTAAAGTTCATAAATGGAACAGTAAAATCTATAATTAAGGCAGTTAACAAAATCGCAGACATTTAAAGAGCTATCGTTATATTCTCGATCTGAAACCTATTTACTGATGCTTACTAGCTACAACCTATTTAATTTTACCAAGGCATCATTATAAATTGGTAATAAAAAGCATTAGTATGAAAATACATCCTGCAATTAGTATTTATCATCGCAGCTTTCATATCAATTTAATTTTATCCATAGACAGGTCTTATTTGCTTCACATGAATCGTAACTACGTATTTCAAATTGAGATGTGTCTACAGTAGTATTTTAAAAAGTACTACAGGCGAAAACTTGGCTATTACACTGAATAATTATTTGACTTATCTAAGAAATATGATATCATGATTCTTTAATTAATTAATTACTTATGTAATTGTCACCGCTGCTCTATGCTCTTATAGTTGTATGGTTGCAGTTGTGTATTTGAGAACAAAGTAGTCGTTGTTGGTTCATTCATTCACATTTCACATATGAACAGCTGCTGATAAAGGTGAAAATTAGTATGACTTGTACAGCAATGAGATGAATCTTAGACTTAATTGCCTGGAGCATTTTTCCTGTTAGATGCTGTTGGCAAGCATCTTGCGATGCCAGCATTGTAATATTGGCAGTACAGGTTGCGATCGTCTGCACTACTCTCTCGTCCTTTCGTGCCAGCTATTGCATTTGAACCATATGGCAGATCTGTTCTAATTCATTCGATTAATAAGTTAGTTAGTCAGTTAGTCAGTCGGTCTCTGTTCAATCTATTCAGATGTCTGCATCGATTATAGCATTTCATATTGGGTAGTGAGTTTAACCAGCACTATTTTCTCTCTCATTTGTTTGAGTTTAGGTAGAAATTCTCCTCTCTGTTTCACGCACTCCCACCCACTATTTCCACTACTTTCGTGCAATTACAATGACTCATTGCTTCGAAGTATGAGCAAATTTTACTTGAAATATTTACAGTATTCTATGTGCTTATCATCGCTTATCACGTTTCTGCATTGTAAGTACCAGTAATTTATGCTTGGAAGTTTATTGCATCAGTACTTGGATCAGTTATCAAAACATGCAAACGGAATTGTTTTTATATTGTTTTAGTTTTTATTTTTATATTATGCACTTACTGAGATATGTATAACCGATATGAATGCGTTTACTTTTTACATTGTTCGTAACAATAATATGATTCCTATAAATTGCTTGCTATAAAAACATGAAATAGCTACTGTACAATTAACAGGCATTCAGGATGTTAGCGTTCAGTTTGCATCTTTTATTTCTGAGAATGCCTATATTTTCAGATTCAATTTAACCTTATCATGTGTTAATTTCTACTGCTTTCACTAATCGTCTCCCCGTGGAACAACTTATTACTATAGAGGAAACAAGGTTTCCATTCATGCATTCATCAGTTTTCTCATCTTGACTATACATTAAATGTAGATCCCTACTATACCATGTTCATCCTTTTAAGCGATGTAAATCTTTGTGACCAAATTATTTCTTGCAGACTGTCATTACACATTTAACCAAACTGGGAATAAAATTTGATTTGCTTCTTTTATATCTACAAAATGCATGTATGGGTAGCACTTGCAATTTTAATTACGTTCGCTAAAGCAGAACAAGTCGATCCACTTACAGATAAAGATCATTTTAAGGTTTGTTCTGCGCATTACTATATTTATCTTCTAATTAGTGGTGCCATTAAACTTGTTATGTTAAATTATTCTGCTCATTTTCATTTTTTTCAATGACATAACTTAAGGCAGGCGAACACGACAGCAAATTTGACCATGAAGCTTTTCTTGGTAAAGACACAGCAGCTGAATATGACGAGTTAAGTCCTGAAATAAGTAAAGAACGCCTTGCGTAAGTGTTTTGTACTCTTTTTTAAATATACTTGTGATTAGTTTGATTTTGTTAATTTCATATTTTCGTAGTTTTTGCATGCTTTTTGGATGCTTGTTTTTGTGTTGCTAGATCAATTAACAATTTTGAAGCTTAGTGTGTTGAGAGGAGCATCATTCAGGATTTTTTTTTCATTTTTGCAAACTCATGAATCTTTATAATTAGCAGTTCACAAATACTGCACTGAGGTTGTATGTAAACAATTCTTGTAGGAAATTAATTCCAAAAATGGATGTCAATGGTGATGGCTTCGTTGAGGAATCAGAATTGAAAGATCATATAAATTTCATGCAACAGCGGTATGTAAATAATGATGTCGACCGAACTTGGAAAAATTATAATGCTGAGAAGATAAAAGATGGAAAGATTTCATGGGACGATTATGTGTAAGTTAATGTTCACTGTTCATGGGATACTTCCATATTTTTACAGAAATAAATGACTGAAACTGTTTTAGAGAAATGGTTTATGGAACTGTTGGTAAAGGCCAAGAGCTCAGTCCTGAATACCAAAAAATGATGTCACGTGATGAAAGGAGATGGAAGAAAGCTGACTATGATTCCAATGAGTTATTGGACCGAACTGAGTATGGTTGTTTCATGCATCCCGAAGAATGTGATCATATGCGTGACGTTGTTGTTCAGGTATACTTATGATCTGTCAGCAAAGATCGAGAAGTTAAATGCCTATATAATTTTTATAGTTCATGTGCGGTAGGAACAGTAGTGTTCTCATTGGTTTTATTACAAAGCACACTTGAAAGTAAGTATAAAAAGATCTTTGTGCATGGAAGTAGACAGAAGAAAAAAATTATATTCAGTAATTTTGAGGAAACGCTGGAAGATATCGACAAGGACAAGAATGGTTACGTGGAACTAGATGAATATATTGGCAAGTTTATGAATGCTTATACTTGTTACCTGTAAATATTTGTGGTAAGAAAAGTCCCGAATCTAGCATTTCAAATAAAGCTTCTGACTTTAATATAATAGTTCATACCTGACCTTCTATTTCTTACTGATAGATCAATATATGGTGCTTAATCCGAAACCATTATTCTCGGATTTTGTGGAATAAAATTTATACAGCTAAAATTACATCAAGTATAGGTGTATTGCCAGTTTATTATTGTAGGTGATATGTACAGACCAGAAGATTATCCAGAATTAAGTGGCAAAGAACCCGAGTGGGTAGCGAGTGAACGACAAATGTTCAAGGAACACAGAGACAAAAATGGTGATGGTAAGCTGGATCAGGTAATTTGTATGAGATTTAAAGTTTTGAACTTTTCCACTGTTAATTACGTTTCATTATCTGCTAAAATTTTAGGAGGAAATGAAAGAATGGATAATGCCCGTAGGCTTTGATCATGCTGACGCAGAAGCAAAACATTTGATTGGTATAGCAGATGAAGACAGAGTAAGTGCAAAATGACTGCATCGCAAAGCATTTATGTTCTTTTTTACTGTGGTCATATTTTGTCCATCTAGTTATTTTCATAATTGGGTAGAAATTTTGGGATCGAGAGCATTCATAGGTGTGATAATCTGTTGCATCTAAAGATTTATATCATCATGTTGAAAGTTCTAGCTGACTGATGGTTTTGCAGGATGGGAAGCTGTCTGTAAAAGAAATTTTGGACCACTATGATACATTTGTTGGATCACAAGCCACTGATTATGGTGAACAGCTACATAAACATGATCCTTCTGAACTTTGAATAGGTTATATAACAAAGTCCCTGGAACAGTATTACTTTTCTTTAATGATTAGATGCATTTATGACTTTTTTGTTAGTGTTAAGAATATTGTGAGCGCATGCAAATGATATCAATAACTGTTGACAAATCACTAAAACTGTATACTGAACAATTCATGTTGCAATAACCTAATCCATGACGGTAATAAAAAATATATTTTCAAATCTAAAGTAAAACTTGAGATAAAGAAATCTATCTCTAGCGTCACAAAAGAGGTATATATACAATTGCCTATGTGTTTCGTGAATCAACAGTTGTAAGTTCCTAGACGTGACGTAGTGCTGCGAAATCCCAACTGAGGTTGACTTGGGTATGCTCAGGATAAAATTATCTTCAAAAGCCTGAACAATATTTATAATTTACAAATAGCAAGGCGAAAATACTATTTTTGTTAAGATTATGTGCACATCAAAGAAGATAATATTTCTTAAAGAAATCATCCGCGTTTTTTGCACCGGAATTGAAAAAGAAAATAAAAAAACTTCACGAATGGTTGACAAGTAATACAGCTGCATTTGAATACAAGTAATAGATCCGCAAGATGTTTCACAAATGATTACACCCACACATAATTACAAGTAACGTCGACACGGATGAACTAACTAATCTACATGATCGTGTCAGAGCTAGATATGAAATTGCCATCTCGCTACATCAGTTCTTGAATGTGGCAAAATAATTCAACACAATTCCTGAGAGCACTAGAACTGCGAACGTTGCGGGTAGTATGTCCCTAAACTCCGCAGTAAATAGAGAGTATAACAGGTCTTGTTGCAACAAGACCTTTAAGAGCTCTCAGGTGTTTCACGGAAGAATACATTCTAATACATAAAACAATGCAAATATGAGATGCGAACTCAAGCAAATATCAAAAGTACATTCAGGATATCAGCAAGTTTGTGAGTAAGTCTTACAAGCTGGAATAGTAGAGGACGGGCATCCACCCCAACTACCACTTTTAGTTGATGGGTATAGTTGAAAGACATTGCATCCCCCACTGACCTGTGATACTTGATGGCCGCATCTATGGTATAATGCTCTTGGTCGTACCAACTGCAACATGACGATGCAAAGATAGAGCATGTTAAAACAGCACAAGTACAAACTAAGCAGTAATTTGATTGATATCAACTGAAGATGAAACTTCTACCTGTAAGGTGTGTGATAGAGCTGATAGTTCTTTGCTCTCCAAAAGATTATACATCCTAGCTATAGAGTACAAATGTGCCACAACCAAGCTATACTGAGAGCGCAAATTTAGAGCAGCTAGCTGTTCCCAATGATTTGTATATAAATGCCCACAGCTGTGCCAAAGTAATCGCAACAGCCGACGACAATGGTTTTCAAAATTATCCGCAAATGCGCAACCTGAAAACACTTCACAAACATGAAGAACACGAAAAAACAATGTTTAATATAAATACTGCGTTCCGCTAAAAGTGTTCAAACTTATAATGACAGGTAATTATATCCACCATAGAAATTTCCTGGTTCTTAGAAACTCAAAAAATATACAAGAAGATTTTCGGAACAAAGATCGTTTTTAAGAGTTTTCATGATACCAACATACAATATATTTTAAAACGTAAGTAATTTTGGAATTTCGACCATATTTAGTAGGATAAAGTCGTTCATCCTTCACGCTTTTTTCACAAAATGATAATACACAATCGATGTACTGCATAGCAGAATATGGATGATGCTTTCTCCTTTCATCAATCCAATGCGCTTTCCTAAATTTCTACTTTTAACGCTATCATAAATACATTTCAAAAAATTCAAAAGTGTTTTGAGTGCGTAGTAAAAGTAGCAATATTTACCCTTTCCCAAATCAAATGTATAACAAGATTGGAAATGATAATAATGTTTCAAAATTTTTTAAATCTTTCCCACATACCTTAAAGCTATTTAGCCTTTATAACAACAATAAAGCAGTGAACTGTTCTGAATGGGAACAAGTGAGCAAAAAATATCAAAAAAATTTTTGATCAGGAAAATTTTCAAAATTCACACCGCTGTAATACTAAAATATTGTTTCGAACGATCAGAAAAATACAAGACTGCACAAAAATGAGGGGAAACTCACGGAACTCCTGGGTAAGACATAATAGGACACGAAACCGGAGTACACACTTCCAATATTGTCCCACATAAAGCATTTATATTTTCGAAAAGTGATAATGCTGAAATATAGATTTCTACATAATTTAGATCTTTTTTAGAACAAGTTTTGATTTTAATATTTCAAGCCCAGAATTTTGAGACATATTTCTTCAATCTACACGCAACTTACTATGTGTAGCCAACCATTCATTTTTATCCATTCCTTGAGGTAGCTTCGAAAGTTTCCTAATCATCTGGAAAGAAACATCTCATTACCTACCTGCGCTTAGTTAAAAGTTATTCCGGCATGTAATGCTTACACATATAGCCTTCAGTTGAAGCTCCAAAGTAAGGCATAACATTTAATTTAGCAAAGGAACATATGAAATTCTTCAGACTTTCAAACCTTACGAAAACGACTAAATTTTAAATTTGTCAGATGTAGTCTATATAATGACGGTTTAAAACATCAAAAATATATGCATAGAAATATTTACTTCATCATCAAAAGAGTCACAAACTCCCATTTCAGACAAAGCTTTACGTTTGCAGTTTGAAGCATGAATACACGTAGTTGCATTTTTCCCTCCATTAGGTGACATATGCCGTGCTGAACGATACCTTTCACTAACACCTTTACGTCGCGATCGCCTAAAAAATCCACATTAACCTGGTTAAGTACTGAATTTGTGTGTAATTTAAATCCACAACAAACTCTCCTTCAAATTTCAAACCATAAAATGAATCGAAAAAGGAATTTACTGCTTATGCTTTTCAAAACACAAACTGGATAACAAATCTCAACTCTTACGAGAAACAATCCTACTTTTAAAGTACTCAAACACAATGCCTAACACAAGTAATACAAACTTTGCTTCCAAAAACTATGTTATTTTATATCTCTGAGTACAAAAATTCAAAAAAGAAGGTTTTAAAAAGTGACTAAGACAGTAAAAAACATTTCCTTCTTACGCAAACTTTTTTCGATACACACAATAACAGAAGAAAGGATGAAGAAGTTAAATACAATACAGTAAAAACTGAATAAATAAAAAAGATTAAAAACATTAATAATAATCAAACTTTGAGTAGCTGGAAAATTCAATACACAGACATCCTAAATGTTGCATTACATACAAAATACCATACACTTGAGCATATTAATAGATGAAACAAATGCTGAAAAAACCATTCTGAATAAGGTTAAGGAAAAACTTACTTAATTACACGTTTCAAAAATAATAGATGAAAAAAACTTACGTTGCAAATGAGATGATATTAGTGAGGAACATTTTAGCAAAACAACAACCATCTTCGCTAACATCTTTAGATGAATGTCTGGATAAACTGCTACGTTTTAAATGCAACTGTGCCAGTTTTATACTTCCCAAATTCACTTCGTCTGGCTCAACTGCACCAGTTGTTTCATTATTCGGATATTTTCCACTCAATGTCGATATTACATCCATAACTACACCTAATTAATATCATAATCATGAACAACTCTTTACTTGCCGCTAATAATCTGTTGTCTTAATACGGCATCATTTTAAATTACAACTTATTCTCACTACTGCTAGCATTCACTATCAGTCGTAAGGAACAATTACAGAAATTTAACTCATTCCCTTGTTTCCCACCATTACTAGCTTCTCTGAAACTACATGGTTAACAGAATCAGCAGAATAAAAAAATGGTTAGACTTAATTTTTTACTTAATCTTCAACCATTCATTTTAAAACCGTTAAAAATTAGTAATGTTTTCAACATTTACGAAGCGCGAAGCAAAACAAGTAGAAGGACAAAAGAATTTCAACTGCCATAACATTTTAGCTACTTGGCTCGTACATCTTACAATATATGCTCAAGAATGATACCTTCAAAAGCTCCCAATAATTCTCAGATCTAAATAAATGACGGTAATAACTTGTACAGTCAATCAAAGTAACATCAGGCAAATTTAAATTTAAATATAAATTACGCGCATTGCAAAAGCAATTGGAAAAAACTGAAGAGCATATGAGGAAAAGAGGGATACAAAAACGGAAATTTGCGAACAACATTTCTCAATTCTTTGACAGAAAATACAAACATTTCGTTCCACGTCACCACCTATTTTTTTTAAGGATGCAAAACATTACCATACTATTTATACCTACTTTCCACACACATGCAATTATTCGAGTATCACTAGAAACCTACCTAGCTGAACAATATAAACAAGCGTAAAAGTAGTTTTTGATGACGCAACAAAGTTAAGTCAAGCTTTGAGAAGCCCAGAAAAGACCAGCGATTTTAAATGCAAAAATTTTTCACTTTGTTTCATTAAAAATTTCAAAACCGCAAAGATTGGCAAACGAAAAATGTAATGATTTTGGAAATATCACAAGTGGGAGATTAGAAAAAAGTAAATATAAAGGAAAAGAAATGCTTCTTACGAAGCAGTAAAAAAGACAAATAAGTTTTGACTCAGTTCAATTCACTTCTTATGGATTCGTTTACTTCCACACCAAGTTATAAAATATATCAATTATAATATTTGCATGCGAGATTTTTAAACAAGACAGACTTTAATAGCATTTGTATTGCAATAAATTGAATATAAAATTAGCTTACTGTACACTGAATTATGATTAGTGTATATGTAGCATTTAATAGTACAAAAACAAGGAGGAGAATATGCAATAACATCGTTCCCTGCGTACTGCTGTACAAAACAAACAGAAATATACACGCGCATAAACACAAATTATGAAGACTTGACAAAAAACTATGAATTGCAATGTGCACAGAGTACACTATTTTCATCACAATTAACATGTTTTATGAACAAGAGAGTACTTTCGGTTCTTTATACTAGTATCATGCTAATTTTCACAGCGTAAACATTTGACCCAATTAAATGATAGCAATAAATAAATAAAAGTAAGATGAGATAATAGAGTAGTCTGCTAAATCATCAATACTTTTATATTATTTAGTACCAAAAATAATAAATTCAATCATAATAGCAGCAGAACAATTTACTCAGTAATTTAATAAAAAGTCTTCCTAGAATAAATCTGTCACTATGCTTTACACTTGACATCTTTTATAATACTATCTCTACAATCTGATTTCTTGAAAATTTCTGATTCTCACTCTCTAGCATCTTTCTACTATAAACAACCAAATCAACTATAGTCCACATAATTTCTACTTTTAATTTTATTGAAATTATTATTTATTTTTCTATTCTCTGAATCATATCTCTGAAATGAATTAGTCAGCCAGTGACTGACTTCACTGCATTAAGGGGAAAAAATAGCAAAAGAAAAGTAACTTCCGATCAAGAATTATTTGAAAGTCTTACCTGAGAGCACAAACAAAGCAAACATTCTGAATAAGATGTGCAGAGATAAAGGGAAAGCAAGTTAGGGAGAAAAAAAATCGTCTATTTACTGAAATTTGATGAATTTTAGATTCCTTTCAAAAATTTCACCACAAATTTAGTTAGCATATATGAATAAGTATGCATAACCACCATTGAAATAAATGACTTCTAGTAAGTAATGCTGCAACCAAACAAAGGATGGAAGCTAAATTCAAGTTGGCAAGAAAATCAAAATAATAGTAGAAGCACAAATAAGGGGAAATGGACGCATTGACGAAATTTTTTGTACTTTTTGTACATTTCAATTATTAAGAACTTCCAACATTTGGCGTGAAAACTTACTTGGTTATCCATTCGACCGTTTCGCGAAGATAATCGGGAAGAAGACGGTCAAGTCGACTATTGATCTTGTTGGACGCCAGCGTAAGTGAAAGATGCCGTTTAATTTGCTAACTTAAAACAATTCTGAAATCACCAGTAACAGCATCTGCCTCTGCTTTTCACGTTTAATTTGATTCGACAAAATTTGCGTGGATTCACACTCAATATGCTGGAAATAGTTGGAAAAATTGAGGCAAACAAATAGTATAGTATACTGCGCAGTTAGCACAACATAACAACAAAAAACTTGCATTGCTTACTAATACTGCTCACTTAATTTCCATTCATTTTGAGAATAAAATAAAGTAGAACAAAATACTGCTCAAGGTTCGAGGAAAACTACCAGATAAAGTCCCAATCAATAATTTAAAATACAGCCAACAAACAATATTGAAAAAATGGCCGAGTCACCCTGCGTTGGTAATTCATGGATTGAGCAAATTAAATATGTGTTAGATGAGTAGAATGGAATAAGTGGTACTGACTACTGAGATTGTCAGAGGCTGGAATTGTTTGATGGATAGCTAGTTGGATGCAATAAAAAATAAGTGGATAAATCAATAAATGAACTAAAAAATAAAGAAATGAAAAAAATAAGTAAAGAAATGAGTAAATGAATAAGTGATGAATAATTAATTAATGAATCAATTCTTGAATTTTATTCGATGAGCATGTTCAAGCTTCATTCATCAAGCGAGATTACACTGTAACATATTTACAGTTTCACTCTTGGCAGTAGTGACAAATGTCTTTTACCGTATAAGGAAGTTATGAATTACGGGTTTTGCACACACGTGGATACTTTGCTTTGTTTGTCAGCTTGGAACATATCTTAGACATTCCTCAGCTTTTCTTTAATTCTATTTGTGATCCCTTCCTGCAATGAGCACATAAAGATATTCTTTTTACTTCTTCTGTCTTAAATTTTATTCGATGAGATGACATTCAGCAATTGCACCAATCATAATTTATACATTGTGCTTGAATGCTTTTGTTAGACTGCACAAAAGCAGTTTAATCTGAAATATTTTCCGCAGTAATTCTCTCTCTATTACAGTTTGTCTTTCCAATTTCGGATCGTCAACTGTGAATCGGTGGGGACTTACTTATATGCTACATAACTTTTTGATACAATAAGCAAAAAGTATTGTGCTTGAGATGATATGATAAAAACGCATCTTCATGTGTTGTGTTATAATGTTCTGGTTTAAAGTACTCTATCAATTTTCAATCACTTTTAACATGTTTCTTAGGCCTTCTGATTTGTTACACTAAGCCAAGCATACTTTTGTTAAATGATTCTCTTCTCTCTTTTCTCTACTATTTTTCTGTTATCCTTTCTGCTCCCATTTTTTGGCGCTCACTTTATTGTCTCCTTTGTCCTTGTTATTAATAATATGGGTAACACTACTGTGTTATGACCTTCTCAGTACTTGACACAGTTACTTTGGTACCAAAATTTTAAATTATGTATCATCTGCAGTCATTTCTTTTGTCATATTACTTGATGTATAAATTACTTTAATGCATCATTTCATTTTTTGATTGCGAATATTTCATACGAATGTTTTGCGACCATCATAACTGCTTGCATCCACTTTTAGAATTACATTCTTTTTACTTTTACAACATTTTTTTCATCTCAAACTGTTAGATATTTTTAGGCGAATACATTAGCTCAATTCTTTATATATATATATATATATA